GTCCTCGGCGCTCACCGCGTGCACCACTGCGGGGACAGGAGAGGGACGGTCAGAGGGGCTCGGGGTGGGGCACCAGGTGAGCTGTGTGAGCCCTTCCCCTCTCCAAAGGTGCTGCCACTGAGGCTGGGGCTCCCAGAGCATCCCAACCCTCCCCTCTGTGGTCACTGAGTGACCTCCCCATCTCCAAAAGTGCTGCCACTGAGGCTGGAGCTCCCAGAGCATCCCAACCCTCCCCTCTCTGGTCACAGAGTGACCTCCTCATCTCCAAAAGTGCTGCCACTGAGGCTGAGGCTCTCACAGCATCCCAACCCTCCCCTCTGTGGTCACTGAGTGACCCCTTTCCCTCTCCAAAGGTGCTGCCATTGAGGCTGGAAGTCCCACAGCATCCCAACTGTCCCCTCTCTGGTCACAGAGTGACCCCTTCCCCTCTCCAAAGGTCCTGCTGGGACTCCCACAGCATCCCAACACTCCTCTCTGTGGTCACAGAGTGACCCCTTTCCCCTCTCCAAAGGTGAGAGAAGCTCGGGATGGGGGCAACAAATGAGTTGGCAAAGTTTCTGCTGTCAGCCCCAGCTCCTGTGTGACCCCTTCTCATCTCCAAAGGTGCTGCCACTGAGGCTGGGACTCCCAGAGCATCCCAATCTTCCCCTCTGCAGTCACAGAATGACTCTTTCCCCTCTCCAAAGGTCCTGCCATTGAGAATGAGACTCTCACAGCATCCAAACCCTCCCCTGTGTGGTCACAGAGTGACCTCCCCATCTCCAAAGGTGCTGCCACAGAGGCTGGGTCTCCACAACATCCCAGAGCTGCTGCCAGACCCTCTCTCATCACCTGGCAGCAGCCAGGGAGACTGAAATAAATAAAAGCCCAGTGGAAGGAGCTGTTCCCAGAGCCTCAGGCTCAGCCAGCCCTGCAGGAGCCAGGGCTGTTTGCCAGGCCAAGCTGCCACGGCAGGACGGTGTCTGCTGGCAGCCAGAGCTGGAGTGACACTCTGCTAGGTCACCACTGCCACCTCTGAGCCCCCAGAGACACTGGGCAGCTGCTGCCCCACTGTGTCCCCACCACATGGGGCTCTCCCACCCCACTGCTCATGGCACTGGGGGCAGAGATGCCATGGCCAGAGCAGCCAAGGGCCCCTTGTGCTCTCCACTTGCCCTGGGCCATGATGTGATGGTCAGTGGGTGAGGGACAGTGACCAGCCTGGCACGGCCATGGCCACACAGAGGGGCTGAATGGGAGCACTGTGTTTTCCTTGAACAGGGGTTTGTTCCACCACAGGTCCCAGTAGGATGCTCCACTTNCCAGCGCTCTGTGCCTGCCTCCTTCATTCCTGCAGCCATTCTGGTGCCCTCCAGCCCTGCCAGGATGATCCTCCATCCTCTCCCTCCCACAAAACTCCCATTCAATAGCTGTTTAAACCTTTCCTGGGTTAGGAGCACGTGTGTCTCATTAGCTGGGACATCCTGGCCAGCCCCGGGCGATGTTTCACCGCTGGAGCTGCTGCCCAGCCCTGTGCCCAGCCCTGGCGCCTCAGCCTCTCTTCCTGCAGCTGAATTTACCTGTTAATTCCCCTGCTGTGATTCACTCTGGCTCTTTTATTGTCCCCAATGACGAGGATAATGAAAACCGTCTGCCCACGCCTCTCACCATGTTTGTGGGGATGAAATCCCGGCTGGAAAGGGATCGGGGAGCGCTGGCACAGGAGGGGAGCAGGGACACAGAAACCAGCTGGGCTCTTATCAGCGCTCCACGCAAGCAGAACGGCCCCTCCCAGAGCTGCACCCAAAACATTTCACCTCCCTCAGCTCCCCCTGGAGCTCTGGGACTGCAGGGGCTCCAAATTCCCTGTTCTGGGCTGCCCCCAGCCCAGCCAAGCACTGTGGGAGATGCTGGGCACAGAAGATGGCAGTGCCACAGTCTGGCATGGGATTCCCTCATAAGGAGATATCTGGGGTGATTTCCAGGGTCCCCCCAGTTTGGGGGTTCTGCACAGGGTTACAGAGCTGGGATCCCCCCATAATGAGAATCTGGGGTGATTTCCAGGGTCCCCCCAGTTTGGGGGTTCTGTACAGGGCCACACACCCACCCTGTGCCCACTCTGAGCCAGGGGCTGCCCCAGGATGGGCTGGTGCACACAAACAGCCCAGCACCTGTCCATGTCCCTGTGGTGCCCACCCCAGACAGTGCCACCATCCCTGCACGCCCTCAGTGCCATCTCTGCACTCCTCAATGCCACCATCTCTGCCCACCTTCAGTGCCACCATCCCTGCACGGTGCCACCATCCCTGCCCACCTTCAGTGCCACCACCCCTGCACACCTCAAATAGTGCCACCATCCCTCAGTGCCATCCCTGCACACCCTCAATGTCACCATCCCTGCACGTCCTCAGTGCCACTATCCCTCAGTACCACCATCCTGCCCACCCTCAGTGCCACCATACCTGCATGGTGCCACCATCCCTGCACACCCTGAGTGCCACCATCCCTGCACACCTCAGTGCCATCCCTGCACACCTCAGTGCCACCATCCCTGCATGGTGCCACCATCCCTGCACACCCCAAATAGTGCCACCATCCCTCAGTGCCATCCCTGCACACCCTGAGTGCCACCATCCCTGCACACCTCAGTGCCATTACCTCAATACCACCATTCCTGCATGCCCTCAGTGCCACCATCCCTGCATGGCCATGGGCACACAGCGTCCCCCCAGCGCCTGGCACTGCCCTCAGCCCCCAGCATGCTGCACTTACAGTCCATGGAGCTGGCAGGGCAGGGGTCCCCATGTCCCCAGGGCTCCCAGCTGAGCTCTGCCTGCCGGGTGTGGCAGCCCTGGGGTGTGGGGGGGTTGGAGGTGCCTGCAGGGCCCTGATAAGCTCAGCACGGGGAGATCTGAGGGATTCCAGGAACCACCCTGGGCTCAGTGCCCTGTCCCCGAATTCCTGTGCTGGTGTCACCCATGCCCTGGGGCTGCCCTTGGTTCTGATGCTCTGATGCACCAATGTGCCAACAGCCATGTGCCAGTGCCCCAGCGTGCCAGGGTGGCGTGGCCGTGCAGCCACACACAGACCTTGCTCCAGACCTTTCTGCCCCTCCATGAACGGCACTGAGGAGCCCTGAACTTCAGCAGAACCTCCATGCCCAGCTCTCTCCTCACCCTGTGAGCCCCAGAGGAGGGGATGGCATCAGAGCCCTGTGCCAGGCTCTCCTGTCACACCACAGGAGCTGGTCACCCCGTGTTTGCCCTCCTGCCACAGCAGCCCTGGCACTGCCAGCCCCAGCTCCTGCAGCAGGGGACATGCCACCTGCTCTGGGCACCTCTGGCAGCTGCCAGGATAAGGGCAGGGCTGTGCCACAGCGTCCCTGGTGCCCTTGGTGCCTGGATGTGGCTGGATCTCAGTGGGATGGGTGACATTGCCATGCCCAGGACTGCCCTCCCTCCTGGCATGTGCCAGGCACTCAGCCCTGTCCCTGTGGGACGTCCCTGTCCTTGTCCCACTCCTGCCAGCCCCACTGGCACCCAAACACGGCCCTGGTGTCACACGGAGCTCAGCTGTGGGTGCTGGGGGTCCCATTTACCCCCTTGGTGCCCACTCACCCCCTTGGTGCCCCATTTACCCCTTGGTGCCCCATTTACCTCCTTAGTGCCCCACTCACCCCCTTAGTGCCCCTCTTACCCCTTTGGTGCCCCACTCATCCCCTTGGTGCCCCATTCACCCCTCAGTGCCCCATTTACCTCTTGGTGCCCCATTTACCCCGTGGTGCCACACTCACCTCCTTAGTGCCCCATTTACCCCCTTGGTTACCTTCTTACCCCCTTGGTGCCCCATTCATCCCTCAGTGCCCCACTCATCCCCTCAGTGCCCCACTCACCCCTCGGTGCCCGTTCCTGCTGGGCTGGCACTGCCTGGCCTGGGCACAGTGGCCGTGCCCGTGGCTGCCAGGCTGCTCTGTGCTTCCGGGCAGGTGAGCTGAGCCTGTTCTACCCTGGGGCTGAGCCAAAGTCCACAGGCGATGCCAAGGAGCCAGGAGCGCTCCACGCCCGCCTCAGGGCGTGTGCTGGCACCTGGGCTGGCACCAGCGAGGGGTGAGGCCCCACTGCCCCAGAGAGAGCCCTGGAATCCCTGCCCTGGGCAGAAACGGGACCTGGGGATGGACAGAGACCCTTGGCCATGTGGTGATGGCACCTGGGGACATCCAGGAAACTGGGCATCCATGTCCCCTTTGCCTGGGGGCATCCAGTCCCCGTTACCTGGGCAGCATCATCCCTTTCCTCCCATTATCCTGAGCGCCCCAGACCCCTCTCTGCCCCAGGAGAGAGCCCTGGGATCCCAGCCCTGGGTAGAAGCAAGACCTGGGGATGGACAGAAACCCGTGGCCATGTGGTGATGGCACCTGGGGGCATCACCCCCTTTACCTGGGCAGCCACATCCCCTTCACCTGGGCATCCATGCCCCCTTTACCTGGCCAGCATCCTCCCTCATCCCTTTCCTCCTGGGTGCCCCAGACCCCTCTCTCTTCCCCCATTTTCTGCCCACACAACGATGGAACGGCAGAACCCACCCCAAACCGCCCACCCTCACCCTCCCAGCACCCCCAGCCACCCACGGTGCCTCCAGGCTGGTTGTTCACACGGTTTTATTTGCTCGTTTTTTGGGTGTTTTACAAACAACGGGGTGTGGGGAGGATGGGATGGGAAAGGGAAAGGGGAA